TCTTTTGTTGTTCTAACCCTGAGAACCAAAGCCTCTTTCGCTCTAATTGGCAAAGTACTTGTACATTCAAGCACACAAAACCAAGAGCGCATGCAGACACACACTTCGGGCTTATGAACACACACACAAAGAGCAAAAGTGACACCAAATTTCCAACTTTTTATCTACTACATTTTAGTAGTAGATAAAAGAAAGACTTCCTAAGTGTTTTTGTGCGCTCTATCACAGCTCCCATTAGCTCAGCTCAAGTGCTTCTTGATCACTATTCATGCTGTGATTGTGTCATTTGGACGGCGTTGCATTAGTACACAATGTGGCAAAAGTTCAGTCAATGGTTAATGTTGCTGTAACAGATCACAACACATTAACCTCATACCAATACGTAATGTGTCGCCAACTGCAGCTCATAGATCTCCTGCTTGTTGGTGTTGTCTCTGATAGAACAATTGTGTCAATTTGGTGCTGTATAAATAAAATGTAACTAAATGTAACTAAATGGCACTATATCAAGTATTATTTTTCTTTTGGGTTTTATTTTTATCTTGCAGTAATTTTGATGGATTGTATTGTGACATCTAAGCCAGTTAAATATCCTGGTCTCCTCTAAACTCCGAGCCAATTTACTGTTTTTGACCACAAGGTGGCGGCAGAGTGCTAGCATGTGTGAACGAAGCACAGTATGATTTTAAATGCAGTGTCTTAATGTGTGGTCGATATAGTGTCTCATTGATTTTACTGATTCTGAATATACTGATATTAGAAATCACACCATGTGTCATAGTTATACTTGTGCAGCTTGTTTATCTTAACACATTTTTGTACATAAATCTATATCACTGTTTTCTGATTATTAATCAAAAGCAGGACATGTTTTAGTTTAAAATCTTTTGTCATCTAAAGAAATTCTGTAACTAAAACTGTTAAATCAAAATATCCACACAGACACACGCCTCTGTGATTTTCCTTTGTCTTTCCAGGAGACGCTTAAATGTTGTTTTTTTTTGTAAATAAATTCCTAGTTTCATCCATGGGATTGGCTGTGACAGTAAACCAATTAGCATTTATTGTTGTAGCAGTTGCTAGGTAGAGCAGGAAGTGAGAGAGAGGTGAAGGGTGAAGGGGCTGCTCCTCCTGGAATCCAGGGGCCCTAAATGGGGTCAGCATGTATAGAAAAAAAGAGGGTCTGTAAATACTCATAAGAATGTGGAGC